TCTGTAAATAAGCGCTAGCTAATAAACCTTGCTGATTGAATCTACACGGTCTCCAGGAGTTCCTTGGGCTAGGCCTGACAGGCATAGACTTATCCTATAGCAGAGAGGTATTGGTGGTCTTTAGCAAACAGAGCTCAAGTCTTTTCCACTGCTTGCCACTTTGTTTATTCTTGTAGGGGTGTGTGTGTGTGTGTGCGCGCGTGTGTGCACGCGCACACACACACACACCTTTGAGTTGGTTTTTGACTCCTGACAACTGCCTAGACCAGTCCCTAGAATTTTCTTGGCAAGATTTCAGAAGTGGTTTGCCATTGCTTGCTTCCTAGGGCTGAGAGAGATCAACTGGCCCAAGGTCACCCAGCTGGCTTTGTGCCTACGGCAGGAGTAGAACTGCCAATCTCCCAATTTCTAGCCTGGTGCCTTAACCACTACACCAAATTCTTGTAGGGTGTTTTTAAGCTGTAGTCCCCTTCCCTTCCCCTCAGCCTTTGTCCCCCCGCCTTGCCCCAATGAGATTGTAGGAGGAAAAAAAAAAGAAAAAACTTCACAGGTGTTTTTCTAGATCTCAGTATGATGTTTGGGGCAACAAAGCAACTTTACTTTTCCCAACACAGGAATGAATCTGTTTGCTGAAAAAAAATGGTGTATTATATAATGCCTGAAAGGTCAGTCCATAATGCAAGTGGTTCCCAATGTACCTGCTCTTGCGCCACCTTTCTGATATTATACAATACAATACTTTTCCGGCACAAAGATAAATTTCTCTCCATCCTTAAACTGAGTCATGACCAATGTTGTTTATGCTTCCTTTGACTAAAAGCTTTGAACATAGCGTTGATGTGGAATGAATCAGAGTTAATTCAGAAGGACACTCTTGAGGTGTTGCAGTCTTCATTGCAAACACTACACTACAAAGACATTAGACAGGGAAGAAAAGGCATTCTGAAGTACTTCTCACAGAAAAAAAATCTCATAACTAGACAAGTGGTTTCAAATAAGTTGCACAAAATATAGTATCTGTATAACATACACCTTTTAAATATCTTGGGCCCAGAGACATTCAGATATGGCACAGGATCAAAGGTATAGGCCACTTACCCTACTTGATGTATGTGCATGCCTTTGTTAGTAGGACTGGCTGGAGCAGAATGTGTGACAGAGGATGTGTCAAGGATGCGCTGGGGGCGGGCATTTACAGTTGCCTAGGAAACAAGAATTTAACAAGTGAGAGAACAGATGCCAACCTCTGTTTAGTACAGTTTTCACATTTGGAAGTAAAGGAGGATCTCTAATGGGGAAGTAGATTTACTCTCCAGCACTGCAATAGTATTACACACCTATCAAAGAACAGTCTATCTCATACCATCCACCCCCAAGGTTTCCCATTAATATATAACTTCTGTCCATACACCATGTTAATGTCTGCAGTAGAACCTTGGGACAATTTTTAAGGTAAGACTGAAGTCACTTTAGGACCAAACTATTAGTACAGTATGACAAAAATGTCAAAACTTGACCCTGTTGTCTAAACCCAGGATCCTTCACATATCAACCATTTTCCAGAAACAAGAGTAATTAATTCACAAACAAATGAAGTAGAGTGAATGATACCTTAACAGTAGAATAATCTGCCAAGGCCTATAGGATCAAACACTCCCAGTATGCTCAGAGGTGAAAAATTACTTTCTGATTCAAAACCGGGGTCCTTTACTTGAACTTCTCTTGAGATGCTGGGTTGGTGTATTACATTAGCTTCTGAAGCAATAAATAAAATGTAGCAAGAAAATAAATATAGCAGTTCTTGCAATTCCCCAAAGATATAAAGATAAATCTCATTCACCACTTCTTGAAATTCTGGCAAAGGGAGAAAAGATGGAAGAAGAAGGCATGGAAGTGTGAAGTTTCTAATGCAGGAGAACCTTCACTTATAGGAATCTGTCAAAAGAGACTGAACTGATGGCCATTAAGATCCCAGCAATAATATAAAAAAGGTGTAAAAAGTAATCAACAAGATACTTGGGAACTTGCAGAAATAAATAGCATAAACAGGAGACAATGTTCCAAGAGTATCTGCATTTGCTCTTTATACCTAGTGTTGCTGGGGGCACACAAACAACTGCAGCAGATGTGGAACAAAGCACTTATTATCTCCCCTCCAGCACCCACCTGGCTGAATGGGCCTTGAAAGTGGCTTCTTTTGACATCCCCAACCCACTAGATGATTTTTTTTAATTGCACTGTGCCATCAAGAAAGAAAGAAAGAGCTGTCTATCCCCCCACTCCATGTATGCCATGGCCTTGAGAGGATGAATAATTTGAGAATTTGCAGTGATACAGTACTAGCTTTAACTGAAGTAGTAGTAGCATAAGTTATATTTGGAGGTCAAACTGACTTTGTCTTCTGAAAAACCAGTCATGGAATTGCTTGGCAACAATTTCTAGGTTTATTTATTAAAAATGTTCTTTTTTTATCAACTTTCTTCTGTTAAGGCCACACATTCAATCATAAAATGCAAGATAATTTGATTCTCTTCTACGGCTGGAAAAAAAATTTCTTCCTCATCTAAATGTCATTGTTTTAAGCAGCTTGGAATGCCAGCTCATTTCTAAAGAACTAACAAATTATACCAGAGTTAGCTACTTTCTTTAGTCATTTGACTCAAAATTTGGCTATGAAAGATTGTAGTTACATTAACTTAAGCAGACCACAATCCGGTATCTAGTATACAAATCAGCATTTGTAAAGCCTGTGGGAAAAGGAAATTTACCTCTTTAAACTCCCCATTACAGACAGAAACCTCATCAGTTCTTGTCATTCTGCCAACCAATCTCTAATTATGGCTCTGGCACAAAGTGGCATTCTGGGAGGGCTCTTGACCTTCTGAATCTAAACCCTTCCATAGCTCCTTAACATGCAGCCAGAATGGAGTTATAAGGGGAGGAAAATATACCAGCTTGAAGATGGTGCATTTAGTTTCTCTCAAATCTCTTAGAATGCTGATAGTGGTTGGATCATCACTACACTGGGGCAAAAAGGGGTTAATTCCCACTTCATGTGTATTCATGAGGGGAAAGGAAAGTGGAGGGTCTGTTTGCTGACAAACATGTGCATTCCAGCATTGACAGATGTTTCTCTTTTGCAGCTCTCTACTATCTAGTTTCATTAGGGATATAATCTGTAATACAGGTAATCCTTGATTTATGACCATTTATTCAGCAACCATTCAAATTTACGGTGGTGCTGAGCAAAGGGACTTATGACTGGTTCTAGAAGTTATGGCCTGTGGTCACGTGGTTAAAATTTGGGCGCTTGGCAGCCCGCCTGCACTTATGACCACAGGGGCGCTTCAACTCCCCCCACCCACCTATCTCCCCCCCATCTATGCCCTTTTGGCCCCCTACTGCCCTGCTGCCTTGTGCTCTACCACCCCAGCTGACCTTCACTGTCTTCTTGCTCCCACTGCTGATAAGTTGTGCCTGGCCTGGCCCTTCACGAGGCAGCTGCTGGCCACGTGAAGCTTTCTTCTCCAGGTTGTGCATGCCTCGTCAGCCGCGGGAACAAGAAGATGGTGAAGGTTGGCTGGGGTGGTGGAGCACAGGGCAGCAGGGGCCTCGGAGTGCAAGGTAGTGAGGATGACTGCAGCTTTGTCCCATGCTGCTGGGCTGGGCTGGGCACAAAGGGGCTTTTTCAGTGCGCTGTGGCTCTGGGGCTGCAAAAAACAGCCCCTAAGTTGTAGTGCAGTGTGAAGCCCAACCTGGCCCAGGAGCATGGCACAAAGGGGCTTTTTCAGTGCGCT